AGTGATAGGACAAGAGGAAATGGCCTCAAGTTGTGCCAGGGGAGGTTTAGATTGGACGTGAGGAAAAATTTCCTTACTGAAGGAGTGGTTAAACATTGGAAGAGGCTGCCCAGGGAAGTGGTTGAGTCCCCATCCCTGGAGGTATTTAAAAGACGTAGATGTGGTGCTTAGGGACATGGTTTGGTGGTGGACTTGGCAGTGCTAGGTTAACGGTTGGTCTTGATGATCTTAAAGGTCTTTTCCAACCTAAATGATTCTATGATTCTCACAGTTCAGCAAAAACATGAGGAAAGGTAAAAACCTCCAGAGGAGCAACGTCTTCCTCACACTCTGCAGGATATATTTTGGCTGTATTTATAAATGAGACACATCTCTCCTTTTAATTTTTCCTAATTCCCTTTCTTGGTAAACCATCAAAAGGGCTCAGTTTTCCCAAGTAAGTGCTTGTAGAAGCTATTAAAATAAACTAAAACAGTATGCAAGAGAAGGTATAATAATGCACTGTAAGTTAAGCAGTAGATGTATATAAGCACTGGGACATTTTTTAATATGTTGACACATCCTGGGATTTCTCAGGTACCGAGATACACTTGTTACAACCTCCCTGCACAGAACAGTCTGATTTGTCTTGCAGACATGCAGCTATCTTGCAGTTTGAGGAGAACGGAGCTGTGCTATGTCTGCTTCCTTGTCCTCCACCCCATCTCAGCCTATTCCAATGTTAAAACAAAACTGTTAGCTTCTTTTCATTTGTGCTTCTAACATAGTACTTCACAACACATTGTGAGAAGTGTCGGCTTTTTTTCTTCTTTATTCCATTTTGATTACAGTGAGGAACATAGTGAGGAAGATAGTGTTATCCAATTACATTTGCATGTTTATTTCGCCTCAAAATATCCCCTTGATTTTCACATTTTTATTTTTTCTTCCAACTTTTTCACAGGAAAAAGTGATTCATACTCCACATGGTTCCACAGAATGTGGAAAGAAAATAAATCAGAGACTATTGCTGTTTTAGACATTTAAATGCTCAACGCCTTCCGAGTACCTGCATGTGTAAGATTCTGACAGTTGTTTATAGTAGAGAGGCCTGCATGGTTCCTTAGGACCTTGCAGTAAAGGAAGGGATCTATAAACATTTTCCACTCTGTTGAACTTCCATTTAGAAAAAATCGGGTAGTTTAATGGGTTAATGACCAAATAGCTTTCAGATTTGAATACACCGCAAAAGCCAGGGGCATTTCAGGACTGGTTATTGTAAGTGTATGACCTCAACTGAAAGTGGCATAATGGGGAGAGGAGTAAAAAAAATGCTACGAGCACTATATGTCTGCATTAGGAAAAAAAGTGATCTGAATTAATACATAGATGATAGGAGCTGGTAAGTTCATAAGAGATGACAAGACCCAAGGAATTTGAGGCAGACTTTTTTGAATTGATAGGCTTGGAGGGGACCTCACAAAAACAGTCTCCTCTTGGCTCTCTGGAGCCTAGACTGCCTGCAGAGTGATACTGCAGAAGTTATGCAAAGCTCTTGGAGTCTGGTGAAGCCTGTGGAACAACAAATACACTTGGTATCAGCTTAATCAGCTCCTTTTCTCCTGCCCTCTCCAGCCATCAAAGTCAGACTCATAGGGTCTATGGCTGGGATGCCATATGCACAATGACTATCTGAATATTTTTGTGGTAGCTTCTTTCCAGTCTAATTTACAGCTGCTAACATGTTTAGAGAAGCATTTTTAATGGATTGCAGGCCTGAAACCTGTCTGTTTGAAGAGTGCTGATGGATGTCCATTTGCCCTGGAGATTACTTTGACTGAACCCACTGGATGACTACAAGAAAGAGAACAAATGTAATAGCTCTGCTGGGTCAGGCTGAAGCCCATCTTCCCTAGTATCCAGCCTCCAACAACGGCCAAGAGACGATGCCTTCGGAAGAGTATATGAATAAGTAAGAAAAACATCTACTGACTTTTCTCCAGAGTACTGTCCTAGCTTCTGGTGATCTGCATGTCAGAAAATGCACAAAGTTGACATCCAAGTTCACAGCTCAGTTAAATTTTTGTTTCATAAATTTGTGCGTTGACCCAAATAAATTACAGCATTCATGAAATCCCATGGAATAAAATTCTATAGCCAGCTTGCGCACTGTGTGAAGGAGGCCCTTCTTCCCTTTTGAGCAAAACATCCAGCCAGTGTCGCAAAAAATGCAATGTGGGTCAGAGGACCTCCACCGGTAACTAAGTTAAGGAGCATGCTCAGGTCCTCAGGATGGAAACACTTCCCATCTTCTCTGAAGAGCACTTTGACATATACTCAGCTACTCTATTTTCTCATGCAGTCAGTCTGCACCCAGCCCAAATACAAGGTAGGTTGTGGAAATGAGGTATCTTCCTCATTCTCAGTGTCTTACTGCCACGTCTGGTGCTAACACTGCCACTGAACTGCACTAGCAGTAGAGGAGGCAGAGGTAATAGGTAATACAGTAGGTTATACATCCTATACATATACATCTTCTCTTCTGGGGATGGGAGAATTGCCTCTTATACAGTGGTAAATACAGTAATCACAGGCTGAACACATCCAAAAGACTACAGGGCAAGTCCCCTTATCTTGCTGTTCCGTGTGGGAGGAAATGGGGAGAAAACCAAGACTTGGAATATTGTGTAGGGAGCAGTGGTTCTGCAAAGGGCTGCAATTTTCTCTTTCTTCACTGTTCTGCTGTCTGAATAGGCTGAGTGAGCGAGATGTGTGGGTGGCTGGGCTAAGGGTCACCACCACACCATGCAAATAAGCTGCATCAGCTGAATGGGCTTGTGCAGCTACTCCACAGGAGAAGTATACCCAAGCAATACAGGAGAGAGAAGAATAAAAGCCAGAATAAGGTGAACATTTATTTCCTAAATAATGCACAGCTGAGCTTTTTTCCTCCTTTAAACCAGTATTTAATAAATGATTTCTTAAAACATATTGCTTAAAGGAATCTGGTAAGTTGAATTTTCTGAGAAGGTAGCATGTTTAAACTCACCACAGATCTGAGAACAAACACAAGCTCAAACTCAAGCTGAAAGCATCCTTACAATGCGCAACTGGCACTCCTGAGCACAACTTGCCACTTCTCCTTTATTTGTGCTGGCTATGCAAAGGCAGCTTTGTCAAGCTGACATATGGGAAGTGCCTATTTCACCCTTTCATGGGAGTGCTTTTCAGTGAACAAGCAACATTACCTGCATGCCTTCTTGACCAGAGATCCCCACGCCAACATCTGCCACTTGGATCATGCTGACATCATTAGCACCATCACCTAAAGATGACAAGATACAGTTTTGTTGTCACTAGTAGACCAGGAACAGTTAGCAGCAGCAAAGCAAAGGAAAACCAGTTGTTACTGAGTGTTGGTTGAGTATAGTAAGGGAGATGTGGGGTAGGAAAGGATCCATCTTTGAAATATAAAGTTCAAAGCTTGGCAAAGCTGCCAAGACATTCTGACCTTTGTAGACTTTTTTTATCATGGAAAAGTAAAAGTAAAACAAATCCCTCTCCTTTTAGTAAGATCTAAAGTCAAGTATCTGGCCTGAACTGCACAAATCCTAAAACACGGAAGGCTGAGAATGAGCTTCTCAATACTTCTGCTTCCTGATTAACTGTCTGCCTGCAATCAAGTGTGACTAAGAATGAAATGTGCAGGGAGGCCTAAAGCCAATGAGAATGTCTACACAGTAAAAAATACAATAAAGTTAAAAAGTAGATGGCGGTTGACCAATCTGAGATTAACACACCCATCACAGGTAGATTTAACTGCAATGGTTGCACAGTCACCATCCCTTGCTCTGCTTCCAATCACGATACCACAAGTGATAGGTGCCATAGAAAGGATACCAGAATGGGACATGTATCTACTTCTTAACCTCTTAAATTTACAGCCAGTGTGTGAGTGGAAAATGAAACTGTATTAGCGGATGACAAGACACTTGGTTTTAAACTTCAGTGGCTGAGGTGTACATTCACATCTCACTCCAGATTCCCTGCTGTTGGCACATACAAGAGTGGTATCTGCTCACCTGACAAAGCTCATATCTTTGTGACTGTGTGACACAACCCCAAGTTAGCTCATGTTGGTTAAAAGGGAGGAGGTATACAGCTAGGCTTTTAAGCCAGAGCAGGAGCTTGAGTTCAACTCACAGGCTCAAGATGCTCAGAAAGAATGAAAACACAAGCTACCCAGCCTCCACTAGTGTTTTTAAGCATTCTGGATAATTCAAGTTAACCAGCCAGACATTTTTGACAACATATGCAAATGATTATGTCCACAGTCAGTCAGCCAAAGATGTAAATTCAGTACGAGGAAGGCATATTTGAGCTAGATATAATGTAGTGAGCATGAGGATTATTATAATCAGCACACATTTGGTGATGTGGATGTCACAGAGTCTGGCAATTATTATATGTACTTAGGGTTTCTCATGGGTAGGTCCAACCCACATGTGTTGCTGCTATGATTAACCAAGACTGGTAGATGAAAGCTAGTGTGTTTGTGACAATATATGCTGCAATCATATCTTCTACGAGCCTAAACTTGAGATAGGGAAAGAAGAGTTGGTTGACTTTTCTTATGTAAAAATCATGGAAACATGGAAGATGCTGCCAGATTTAAAACAGGGTTACTGACAAAATCTCCCCGTTGCCAACGGAGCGATAAGCTTGGAAGAAGTGTAAGCGCTGGCATGATGCCAGTTGTAAATCCATTCTCTATACTGACAAGGCCAACTCATATCCTATGCTGTATGGCTGACTTGTAATGAAAAACGCAGAACCTTGAGTTTAAACGTGATTGGATGAAACAACACTGAGCACAATGTTGTTCTGTGTAATACAGCGATTGCAAAATGGTGTTCTGGACAGCATCAGCTAACCCAATTCTTCACAGCTGTGTTCGGACATGCCAAAACCTCATAGCATACCTGGGTCCCGATTACCTAACTTCTGTAGGAGGAAATCCCAAATAGTACTCCAGAGTTCTATCTTGGTTTTGAATAAATATGTTAGAGTAGATAAGTTAGAGTTGTCCGAGACACTTTCAGACAAAACTGGAAGACTATTTGAGTTGTGAGACAGCTGGAAGGGTCCTATTGCAAGTCAAAAAATGAAAATTCTCAAGGCACAGTATACATCAAGGCAGGCTAGTTTAAACTGAGATATTTACCTATTGCCAAGGTCATTGCTTTGAGTTTGTCTCTGACTAGTTTCACTACCATGCTCTTTTGGAGTGGAGTAGAGCGACAACACAGTACTGAACGGCATCGCTTGGCTAGTGCAAGAAATTTATCTTCTAGTGTAGGTTCCAGGGCATAAGCTAGAGTCCTTCCATCAATCACTAGGCCCAAGCTGGAAAGCACAGGGGAAGAGGGTGGATAGAGAGGGGTGAACCCAACAGTCATGTTTCCAGTAGCTTCGTCTATTGTGTTGTTTGAAAATTTAGACTCTACGCATTGCAGACACTGTTCCAGCAAGATAGCACATGTCTCCTGAAAAAAAATTCAAAATAAATACGCTTGAGAGAAAAGAACATGTATTCAAACGTTTGTGTTTGCTGTATATTTAGGCATAAGGAATACGGGGAATGTGTTATATTTGCTGCACTGTTAGTTTTAATTTCTAATAATCTTTTCTATTCACTCTAAACACACTTCATTCTTGCAGAAGATATGACAGCAATGAGGACTCGAAAGGCTTGAAATCTAATTCCTCTTTAACATGCAGTATTGTATGCTAAACTGATTTCTTTTAGCTCCTTCTCAGAATAAGTGTGCTGGGAAATGATATAATCAGTATCAGTACCAAGTTAAGTATGGTGATGAACACCATGTACACGCCTACAACTCAGATCAAATAGTTATGCATTGTTAAAGGCCAATTAAAGGTTATTTAAGCTGAATTCTCTCTCCTAGCCATACTCAACTAAAAGATGTTATTGAGAATATACGAACATTTAAAATGAAATGCTATTGGTCTTACAGTAAAGTATGACAAAAAAGAAAGATCATGGAAAATCAATTTACCAGTTCAGTTGATACACTCAAGAAGGGAAAATGTTGTTATCTTTTCTTCCTTTTCGAAAGAAATTGGAGCTGGATACTGCTGGCCTACCTCTCCTCTGCTGATCTGAAGTCCAATTTTATCACCCCATTAAAGGACTATAGCACTATCAGTCTGGTTCCTTGTATGTTAGACCGTATCAGTAAACTCTTTGTGACTGTCTGCTTGCAACAAGTTGAGCACAGGAAAGATCAGTAATTCAGAAGAATTAGAAAAGGTCTGTTAGGAAGCAAGGCATTACTGTGGATGTGGTTTTCTGACTCTCAGAGTTAGCATCAAAATTTAAGTATTGCTTCTATCTCCAGAGAAAAAGCCAGCTGAGAAAACATGAATGACTGAGTGATCTAAATACTACATTTCAGTGGTGTAAAATAAAGCACAAATTCTCTATAGGTAATCAGTTGTTTTCTTCCTCAACACATGTTTAATAACAGGTTGTTTTTGGAGACCCATTAGTGCCAATAAGCAAAACAGGGGATGTTTTGAGAATGCATACCAAAGAAAGGCATTTATGCTGCTATGGCATATTTTCATTCATGGTGGAGCCCACTACACACAGTTACATGTCTTCAATCAGTTTATGATACATGACACTATGACTTAGAAGCATGATTCTCTGAAAAGTATTCAAAGACATGTCCTACCTGAAAAATACGGATGAAGCAGGAAAAGAAGGAAAAAAAAAAAGAGGGAAAGGAAAAAAAAGGCCATCAAATTTTTAATTGTACAAGTTGAAAATAAAGCAAAGCTAGTTCACAAGTAAACTTGTGTATTGTCTCTGAAAAAAGACATAAGACATGTCCTACCTGAAAAATACGGATGAAGCAGGAAAAGAAGGAAAAGAGGGAAAGGTCAATCAGTTTATGATACATGACACTATGACTTAGAAGCATGATTCTCTGAAAAGTATTCAAAGACATGTCCTACCTGAAAAATACGGATGAAGCAGGAAAAGAAGGAAAAAAAAAAAGAGGGAAAGGAAAAAAAAGGCCATCAAATTTTTAATTGTACAAGTTGAAAATAAAGCAAAGCTAGTTCACAAGTAAACTTGTGTATTGGATCTGCTTACTGGTGATTCAGCATTCAAAGTGATGATTTCTTCATCGTGATCTAGTAGCTTGCAGGCATATGCAATATTAACAGCTGTTTCTTGCTTGTCTCCAGTAAGAACCCAAATCTGCAACCCAGCTTTGCGCAAGTTTGCAATGGTTTCTGGAACACCATCCTGTAAACGGTCTTCAATGCCAGTTGCACCTAAGCACAGAGAAAAAGCAAAATATTGCACATTAAATAAACACTTAGGGTTCACCTCAAATTGTAAGTTTGGATTTTTCAAAAAAACCAGCCGTCACTTTTATTGGGAAACAGTTAAACTACCAATGGTTGCAAGATTCAGGCAGCTTTTTTTGGGTATTGAGAGAGAGGAGGAGAAAGTAGTTGGGGTAATCAGCTGCACCAACAGTCAACAACAAATCCGGAATTCAAAACTTCAAAAGCAATCTGATGCCACTTCTAGTCTCAGAGGTTCACAAGGCTAATGTATCTTTGCTTACTGTCTCTCTGCTCTGTATCTTCACCATTTCTTCTGAATGTTGCTAGAGAAGATACTGTTGCTTCTAGGAGATCATTTCAGTTCCTAAGGGTCTTAACTGCCTTTCCTCAACTAGAAGAGGCTGGGTCACTAGAGATTTCTCCCTTTTGAAGGGGAATGACAGCAGGACTGCAGCTTGGCAAAGGCACATTAGGCTGCAGACATAAACTTTTTCCTGCCTGTCTGCTGCTCTTTGCTCTTGCAGAAAGACACTGGTTGCCAAATGAGATATAGCAGAGAATAAGTCATAAATCTGTTGGCCATGATGTGAAAGTAAAATGTAGCTTTTTCACGCTTTCAATGTATCTTTCTACCTGTTTATAAGAGACTGAGTATCTTTCCTATGCTTTCATAAATCAATTGAGAGAGACAAGATTTTCAAATACTGTAGCAAAAGCCACTCAGGACCAAGTTCAGTGTCACCACTGACACATCAGTGCTCCACTGAGTTTCAGAGAGGCTTCAATGTGAGGAAATGTAAGCTCTCACTACTAGAGAATGAGGAGGTGACAGACATGCAAGTTACCTGGACCAACAGGAAAAGCAAAGTAAACTTTTCTCAGCTATTTGTTATTCCTATGGTTGTTCCCTGAAAAAAACATTTTAGGAATAGAAGTCCACCTGAAGTCTGAGCACCAGTCACGTAGGTGGAAACACATTCTTAGGGCAATGTCGGGAAAGCTATTATTATCCAGACAGTGTACAAAGGAAAAGATATTCCTTTTCCAGACTCACTTTTTTATTCCCACAACCTAATCCTAACTGATCATTGCAAAATACAACCCACAGTATGAGGTTCTTGGGGAATGACTAAATTCTTCTGGCTAGAGCTCACTTATTTGTCTGGCAGTTCAATTTCACTTCCCCCCCCCCAGAGCGCAGCCAGAGCCAACAGGCACAACCATGGTGGGATCTTCCTGATTAATGTGGTCCGAATTAGTCACCTCATGCTCCCCTTTAAGTCAGAGGAGAGAAACAGACACTTCAAGGGTGTGATTCATCTAATCCTAAAGCGGGTATCTAAGACAGACCAAATGAAATGCACTTTCTTTTTTGTCTCTCCATTGGTTATATGGGGAGCCTCAGAGATCTGTAGTAGATACATCAGAAGTTGGGTTAGCTGGATCTCGTCTCCCAGAGACAGGCACGTTGGCAATTAGCGAAGGTTGTTACCTCCAACAGTGTTATGGCTGTCCCAGTTTCTTTGCCAGAGAAAACAGCTGGATGCTTGGAGTAATAGGGAATATATATACATTTTAGAATCTCAGTGCATTCAACATCTCAACTCGGCAGAGGAAGAGTATGACTTAGTTCTTGGAACACACTTTACATACACTGATTTTAACTGCATCATTATGAAGTACTGCAATCCCCTTCCACAGAATACAGAGGCCCCGAGTGCATCAGCTGAACCTGATGTATATGAGAGTTGATGCCTCTCACAAATGCAGTTTATGAGCTTTGCTTTATGAGTGTCTCTGGTGCCCCTGGAGTCATGGAAGTCTCTGACATGTTGAAGTGGCACTAAGCTAACAAAATTCTGTGGACAGTTTGGGCCGAGTTCTCCTCCTGTTTAGAGCAGCAGTTCCCATTTATGATACTGTGTCAAATTCATCCCTGATATTACTCCACTCATTTCACTAGTGATAAAATGATAGCAGGAGCAAGAAAAACAGGGTATGTCTGTTATCTTAATTATATCCCATTCCTTTGTGGTGCTGCACATGACAGCCATGACAAAGTCCAAAAGAAGCCAATTTCTGTACTGTCAGAAACCATTTAAGGGAAAGAACGGATTTCATAGCCAAGCTTTCAGAATTTTTAACACATTTTAATTTCATGTCCAGCTCTCATTTCATTACCTAGCAGATGCAGATTCTTCTCTATCCGCAGTGCTGACTGAAACAGAAGTTCTTCACGATTTTCAATAGAGGATTCTGCTTCTAAATGACTTTTTAACCAACAGGCATACTCTTCCTTGCTGAGAACCTATTACAAAGAGTATGTGAGGGCACAGTCAATGTGATGCAGAGGCCTTCATACTTTATAGAATAAAATGAAAAAGAAGTCATGAATCAAGAACAATAAATTAATAAATGCCTTCAGTAATCTTTGTCAAGACTCTCCATAAAAGCAAACTAAGAGTTTGCATTTACTTACTCTTTTTGCAATACAGAGGGTCCGCAGCCCATCTACAGCATACAGATTAAGGTAATTCTGGGTTTTGCTTTGGATTTTTTTTTGATGTTTGCCCCGAGGGTCATCTAGATAAGAATAAAAAAAGAAATTAGTGATTGAAAAATAACAGCAGCTGAGTGGCCTCAGAGAATAAAAACTTGTCTATAGTACTCACTGTACCGGCACTTTATAACCGATACTTTTAAAGAGCTGCTGATGTCTCCTGGGAAACTCAGGCAAAACATTCCATTTAGAAACAAAAATCTTGTCTTTTTGTTCTGTCTTTTCTGTCTTCTCTCTTCAAAAGTCATTGTGAATGTGTGTTAGGAAGACCTTCTTTTTCTTACTCCTTATTTGTTTGGCCTGAATACTTTAGGAAATCATGACAATCTTCACAGCAAACAATAAGGTCAGAAAGAGAAGTATGATTTCAAACACACTACTAGCAAATGCACATCTCATCACGTGCAGAAAAATGACACTTACTTAAAAATAGCACTTAGTTTTCCACCAAGGTTAATATCTCAAAAGAACCAGACACAGTGCTCTGTTTTGTATATCTAAGTGTATGAAGGTACTTCTATTACTGCTGTACTGATACTACCTATTGGACTGAGTCAATGCAAGAAGTTCCAGGTGTGACTGTGATTTCATTTAGAAGAGAATTTACACTTGTGTAGACCTCACAGCTAGCTTCTACCTTGAATGCAGCAGCACAACTTCCACTTAGCTTTACTCTTTACTTAAAGCAATGTATAAGAACTCAAGATCAGGACTGAGCATCTGTTCCTTTTCTCTCTTTAGCTGAGATTGGTTCAATGTGCTCACACTGTGATCAAAAAAGAGTAATGAATATGATGGTAACACATTTTGTTCCATCTCATTACCTGAAATGATGTCTTCAAAAGTTAAAAGCAGGTCATATGCATCTTTTTTATCATCTAGGATCAAGACAGGTTCATGTACAATGTACTGTAGTAGCAATCTTAAATAATATGAATTGCAGAGTTAGTACTAAAGTAAATGTGCAAGCTGGTAAGTTTATAGATTGGAGCCATTGAGTGAGAATGACCAGTACCTTATGGCAGGTTTTCCTACTCCCTGATGTCATATATTTTTTTTTCTAAAGTCTGCATGTTTTTTGGGGGTGTAGAATAATTTCAGGATTATAATTTTGTAATTGGAGTTGTTCCTTAATGCAATATTTGTGCTACTGGTACTTGCACAGTAACCAGTCACAGAGTTAGGTGAACGCTGCTGATCACCAGAAGTCTGAGCACCTGAAGAGACCTACTACAGATGATCTCAGTTCACCATTGGATGTGCTCACCTCTCTCAACTGACCATTCTGAGAACCTACGGGCACTATACCCTTATATTAAGCACTTAATACTGGTATCTAAATTAGATGACACAAATATCTTACTGTTTATACGTTTCGGTGCCCATTGTCCCAGTGTGCATTCATACCCAATTTGATCTTGCTATGTGTGACCATGTATATAGATGTCTATCTGTCTGTCTATAAACTTAGATAGCATTCAGTACTTTCATATTTATACAGCAGCACAGTGTCTAACCGGGCATTTAGAGGCTCCAGCACAAACACATAGAAGTATTGATGTTGTAGGAAGGAAGGAGCTGGGAGCTTGGAATCCCAATATTCTGGGTTTTGTTCCTGTTATCTCAACCATGTATCAGCACATTTTACTCACTGTATAGCTGTTTTCTCACCTTTAAAGACTGTCCTATCCTCTCTAGGTCTGTAAAGCTGGGAGTATACGCACCCAGCTGTTCCTAAGGGAATCCATAAAGATTGCGATATTTCATGCATACCTTCATTTCAGTTCCATCTCTCATTAAGGTTGTGTGGTGAATACTGGTAGGAATATTCTGGTGGGCCTGTCCATCTATCTATTAATGCTACCTATGCTATCACTATTGATTTTCTCAGAGGGACGGTACAGATATATTATTCTGGAAGAACATCCCTACAAATATTATTTGCAATTGGAGAGCCCTTTCTTACACTATACCTTGTGGCTCCGACACACACCACCAGGTTCCTTCAGAGGCTATTAAAACAGCTCACAACTAGATTCAGCTGCAACATAAAGCGGAAATACGCATATACTGAACTGGCAGCCTAACACAGTTTCATTTAGCTTCTTTTCTATTTGTGCATGATAATCTTTTTGGCATATGTGACTTGGCTGTGTAATATAAGAAATTTTTTTTCTGGGAGAAGTACTGCCGCAAACCTTCTTGGAGGCTTCTTGTATTAGTGAGTCAGCTTTTTTAACTTTAGAAGAATAAAGCAGGCAAGCATTCTTCCTGATTTAATGTGATACATTACTATTCTAGAAAGAAATGCCATATTTTTTGCATATCCCACATGAAATTGTCTTACGGGAGTGGCTATTTCAGTCACTCACTGATTTCAAATGGTGCAAACTTGCATAGGTGCTTAAACACATCAAAAGCTGTTTCTATCCCTTCAAGGTTAAATGGTGTTAATCACTTCAGTTCTGTCTGGATACCATGGGCGCTAATGCAGTGATCATAATGTGAAATGCTTATACCACCTTCAATGAACAAAGACAGTAATTCTCTACAAGTAGAGATGCGCACACCATTTTCTGTGCGAATTCTCAATTCCAGTGCGGAAGACTGCATCTCCCTCCTCCACCAGCATACCAATGACAGCTAAACCCCCTTCTAGCTCTTCATGTGCCTCATCAGTCCTACCCTGAGATTCATCTTGTGCTCAGAAGTTAGAAGGGGGGAAGGAATCTCTTGCAGCCAAAACCCAGTTGTGGAGATTCTTTTTAGCTGGGATGCAGTGTCTATGCTGAGCAGTGTGACCACATGCACCACGTCAGTGAAAACCAGCAAATAAGTCTTCTCCAGAAGAATGATAGAGAGCTAGTGGTGTTCTGCTTGCTTCATTTCCTTCCATAATCGCAAGCTGCAGAAAGCCAGCCCAGCCATTGTTTTCTCAATGACTTATGTTCACAGTTTCTGTGCAAGTTGGGTATTGACTCAAACAGTAAATTTCTTATTTATGAACATGGTGACTGTTGAGATAAGTAAAAACAATACACTCTTGGGAATCATTTCAAGGCTTTTGGAAATATCTGTACGCTATCAGAAAACGTCAGGTTTCACAGTCTCAACCAGATATTCAGCCAGAGCAAATGGAGTCAGTTCAGAAACTTTTTAAGTTTTGAAGCTTATGGCAATTTCTGATTTTCTGTAAGACACAACTGAAGCTACAACGTAATACTTTTGCTTCTGATTTGGGGCTGTTCCTCATGTCATATTTTAAAATACTCTTCCTCCCAAACAGGGACCTTTGTGTCTGATAGGACCCTGTCATGCCACGTGATGTTTGAGTTGGGAGATTATGGGCACAATGTTGCCTTGGTCCTTCAGTCGAAGGGCACAAGTACCACAAAGTCTCAAGATGCATGCTTGACTGGTGTAGAATTTACATGTCCCTGAAGCACTACGACAGCAAAGAGTGAGCACCGGGATTAGCTGTCATGTCGATTCACTTATTGGTCAATTCCTTGAAATGATAAATGCCTGAATTCTCGTAGCATTACATCTCCTCTCACACTCACATTCCACCACCACCAGAGAACAGGATGAAACCACCGACAGATCCCGCAATACAGGTAATAGCCACAGCATAAATCTTCTGAGGCTTCCTCTACTGGGGGAATACCTCCCTGTAATGGGAAGAAGATGTCGTTCCCTCAGGAATTGACAACATATCCACTGGCATTAGGATGCTGCAGGCTGTGCAAATTCAGTTCCAGGATTGAAGCTGCTCAAGAGAAATGTCAAATGTTTTTCAGACAGATCCGCTGAAATATACGGAATTACTGAAGCCAGCAGTGGCTTAGAGGGCTAGAAAACAAGGGAAACTGCTTATGTGGTTCTAGCGGCTGCACTTTACATTGCTTGCAAAAGCAAAATATACGAAAACTCATTGTTCAATTTGGGCTAAAAAACTAAAAAAAGAAAAAGGGCACAATTTCAAAGCCACCTTCAATTTGCTTGCCTGTAAAGATGGTGGAACCGCTGTATTTGCCCAGCTACAGAATCTGCTCACTGCCAACACCTATCTTCAGGAACTCTTCTTCCCCTTCTCTGACATGCACCACCTCTGGTAATGTTGCCATTGTTTGGTTTTCTAACTGGCCTTGTTGTTTTCACCTAGGTGGGTCCTAGATCTGCCTGAAATTTGCCTGAAAATTCCTTGATCCATTGAGTTTACTGTGAACGGACACAGCAGCTTCAAACATGGTCTGTTATATGGTGACAAAACATTTAAGACTTGACATAAATAATATTTTCTTTTCTTTTTAATGCTCAGTTCTCATTCTGAGAAGTAATTTCCAAACATTATTTTCTAGGTATGTTATTAGAAATTCTCAGTACTACAAATTCTCTGTTAGTACTTTGGAGGGAAACAAGTTTCCACAGATGCTCTATGTACCTTCTGTGATATCAGATCTTTAATAGAAAATTATTCATGAATACTTTGTTGTTAGTTAAGGACAAGTTGTTCTTAATTTTTTTGGCTCAGCTTTGATTTATATGGCTGTAAACAGAAAACTAATGCCAACATTTTTCTGTATTTCATTAAACTAAAATTACACAGTGTAAGCCTTTCACAATTGTTTACTCCAACTAATGTCAAAGTAACCACAAAGTCAATGCATTGGTGAAGCATGGGAAGTACCTCTAGCACTTTCGGGCTCTGTCCATTCATACTGGGGTAGCCTTTAAACACTGGATTAAATTCAGTGTTGAAAATACAGTAAATTAGATGCAAACTGATTCATGCAAACTAAAACCCGTGTGTCTCCTCTAAATTCTGAAAGCTTACAGGGTTCTTCTTGAGTCCAACCAATTATAATTAGCAGCTATTTAAAGTTGTCCCTGTTTCATGCGATATCTGGGTGCTGGAGAAGTACTCCATGCTTTAGGGAAGTACTCCATGTTCACAGCTACGTGTCTATTCCCTACTAGTCAACTACATATTTGAAGCCAAGATTTCTCGTCTGAACAGCGTCTCTCCTTTTTTGCCACAACCTTTCTGTTTTGGTGGCTGATTGATTCACAGTGCCCTTTATCGTCATAGTCACACCAGCATAAATGCGTTGATTTATGCAAACATATTGCAGCAAAAGGACATAAAGATTCACAAATGAAACAGAGAGGAGAGCTGCAATAGGAAGTGCTTGGGTTTCATATAAAATACTCAAATAGCCAAGCACTGCCAGGCAGGTTTTCCTGAAGAAATGTAAGTTGCTTTGGCAGAGTTTCAAGAAATTCCTTCAAAATAAAGTTTGCTAGTGGAAGATCTTGTGCAGAAATTAATTTAACTCATTCTTGTAAGGTGAGGAACCAGTAATTTGTTACAGAAAATTTGCTATAATAACAAAGTATTATAAAAGAAGAGAGACGGCTGCCATTCTACCATTCCCTATATTCACAACAAAAGCAGGCAGGTCTACTTGCTAGAGAAGGCAATAAGATATGATGAGTTTTTCAGCAGTTAACCAGAACCACCTCCCTCCCACCCCCACTCCCACAAAGGTAAGTAAGAGGTGTACCTGAAGAGCAGGGTAGAAGAAGATCCATAATAACTGAATCTGCTCCTTTAGTGTAAACATTTATTTCATCTGTGAGAGGATGTCTGACTACTACTGACATCCTCTTCCTGACGGAATCAAAGCCCAATGTATGTAATACTTCAAAGCTTAATGTTCCCAGGTGAGGTAGCTCCACTGATACCTGGTCAGACAGCCTTCCAACCAGAGAACAGTTATATGCCCTTGCTGCATAGACGAGAGCAGCTTCATCTGGACTCTCTGCTTCATAACGGAGTTCTCCTTCCTCAGGTCCACTCCCCACGGCTGTCCGGCCTTGCTGGGAGCTGTAGCCGTTGTTATTCATCTGCGCAGAGTATGCCAGCTTCTCTTCCAGTTTTAATAAAGTGCTATCCGTAGATGTAGATGAAAGCACACTTAAGCCAAATCTGTGCATTGATTTGCTTGTAGCTAGACTAGATGAACTGCTGCTGTTAGATCCAGAGGTCAAGCGACTTGGAGTGAATCTTCGTATGAAGTCTTCTATGGTTTTTACTGGAGATTTTAGTTCAAATCGATCTCTAACCTTGAGAAGTGAAAAACAAACCAATGAACAAAAACTGAAGAGAAACTGTACAAGAAATCTGACATTGTTATTCAGACTAAGCAGCTCCAACTAAAGGGGAGAATTTCTTTGAGAACGAAAAGTAATGGCATTTGTATTTTGAGAAAGGAAATGGACAAAACTGACTCAACAGCAAAAAGCTTACTAGAGCTTCAGAATTGTGCCTGTGTGAAAGCACGTATGTTTGTATTAAAAACATTTTTTCTTGTTTTACCTGCTCAGATATGACTAATGGATAGACTATCAATGTTGCACCACCACCAGTAGCGCACCAAAACCTACTTGGAGTGAATCTTCGTATGAAGTCTTCTATGGTTTTTACTGGAGATTTTAGTTCAAATCGATCTCTAACCTTGAGAAGTGAAAAACAAACCAATGAACAAAAACTGAAGAGAAACTGTACAAGAAATCTGACATTGTTATTCAGACTAAGCAGCTCCAACTAAAGGGGAGAATTTCTTTGAGAACGAAAAGTAATGGCATTTGTATTTTGAGAAAGGAAATGGACAAAACTGACTCAACAGCAAAAAGCTTACTAGAGCTTCAGAATTGTGCCTGTGTGAAAGCACGTATGTTTGTATTAAAAACATTTTTTCTTGTTTTACCTGCTCAGATATGACTAATGGATAGACTATCAATGTTGCACCACCACCAGTAGCGCGTACCAAAACCTATCGTTAGTAGGAAGCATTGGCATTCTTTGTGCATATTCAGTGAAGGTAGTAAAAAAAAAGTTAATGAAAGAGTTTTCTGTTGAGAAGTGTGGTATCAGAAAAGTTTTATGAGAATATGCCAATGTCGACAACATTCTCAATAGGAACATGTTGAAATAAATAATTTCCGCTGTCTTCTCTTTCAGCATTAAAGCATTTTGCTTCAGTTTTATCACTCATCTCCGTTTACGTAAATCTTTTTTACAGATACAATGTTATTAATAGCAATAGCATATTCATAGTAATATATATTAAATTATTGTATAACAGTGTAGCATTCCTGAAACAGCAGAATTGAGCATTCTCCAAATGTTTCCCTGGCACAAAACCATGTCATTTTGCAGACTAGTTCACTTTTTATTCCAATCTGGAACAGAAACAACTCTCAGAATTTTCTCCAGAATGGAAATTCCAGTTGCTGGCTAGCTTTAATACTACATTCCATTATATTTTTGTCTTGCAGATCATCTTGGGACTGCATTTTTGAAATTCTCGTTCATCAATGACACTGATTTAGGCCGATTCAGCAGTAATGATCATTATTTCTCATAATGAGCTTAAGATGCATCTTTTACATAATTTAAAAGTTGAGCAATGTTTTTCAAGTATATTCTCTTTTTGAACTTTTTAAAAATGTCTCAGCCTTTTCTTAATTTAATCCATAAGTACAAAATATTCACAGAGAGCTTATATTCTTTTCTGGGAAGTCTTGCACACTTACAAATTAGTTTCCACACATACTTACATTTATTAAATGAATACAAGTTATAGTACAAGAAATTGGGAAAGTTTCAGAAGTATCTTGAAATTGTCGATGAAAGCCTATCTTACCTTGAAGGTAAGTGAAATAGCTGACATACTCCATTTAACTAATGCTTAACTAAACCCGCTCAATCACATAACGGTTCTAAGAGTTGTCTCACAACTGGTTCTAGTTGTTTCTCACTAGAGCAGGAGGTTTTCATTTCCCCAATTTACAAGATAAATAAGTACCAGTGCAAAAGAGGCTTAAACTCTCTTTTGCTGTTTCTTTAACCCACCTTCTGTCGGGGCTGATTAGGTGCAGTAACCACGACTGTATTACATATAGTCAAAGCGATGAAGAAGTCAAAAATGTCACATAGTTCTGGACTCAGATGGGATAATGGCTGTTCGTGGCTCCTCATGACCTCCAGATGCTTTGCACATTCATTCACCTTTTCTAACAAGCTTGGGTCAGGTGTGATGTCCTTCTCCTAGTAATAAATAGCAGTGATTAATATCTGTGATTCTGCAAATTTCCAAAGCAGCAACAAGCAATCAAAGCATCCAAAGCAGTGTCAATATCAAGAGTTTTATGGTGGCCTTACACCACAGAGTGGAGGTGGAGAGGATGTAAGACACCCATTCTAGACAAGAAACAGTTAACAATGAGACTACTGATAGAAATGGAAATGGGAGTAACTGTGTTATCAACTTTTTCACCACAGATAATTATAGCGGCAATATTCATCTACTTTGGGGGTAGTGGATAGGAGAAGAGTTACATACTAATATTCCTCCCTCTCTAATTCAAGACACTTGTTATCTATTACTAAAGGGTGGTACACTACAGAGACCAAAAGAGTGGAAAAATTAGACAGCAATGACATTCAAAGCTCGGCCTTACATCAGCACAATAAAATGAAACCATCTTGGGTTGTTTGTTAGAGAACAACAACCATCCACACATTTGAAGGTAATTAATGTGGTTTTTTACATTGAAACAAAGAGCACTTTCCACTCTATTTCATCAGCACTTTCCACTTACTTAATCTATTTCTTGTCAGAGCAAACTCCGGTATTTCTCAAGATAGGAGGATGCAAGGATACAAAAGATTAAAAGATAAACCGATCTAAGGCTCTTTCTTCAGTAGAATTTTATCTGCTGATGCTCAGCAGCTGATGAACATGAGCAACCACAGAACCCCGTGTATAAAAACTGCAGCTTGGAATTGTACCAGAAGAGCTTACTTCTGACTGAAATCAAGAAGTTCCACCAGTGCAAACAGCATCTGTGTATGTATCAACAGTATTGATATTTGTAATTTGTTTTAAGGGTGAATTTGTGTCAACAGTGCAACAATGCAAAATCCCGAGATAGACAAGACTTGGCTTCTCTGCTCTCTTATTACCATTCAGCTCATGTAAAACGTCCACGGAATTACAATAGTATAAAATAAATTAAACAAAGCAAAGTTGTAAGGACATAAATTCACCAACATTTTGAAATGTAAAGTGTTTTTTTTTTTTAAATACAACACATGCAATCCACTGATAAGCTTGAATCACACTAAAAATTATGCTACAGTGTATGTCAACAGTGTCTAAGAATTGGAATACACAGTGTCCAGCCCAGCACTTGTTAGTTTTAAAAACCTCTGTCAAAAGAGAAAAGAAGAAGCATACACAGAGCAATTAGAATCCTTGACTTCAAATCTCACGCTACTCTCAGCTTCTGCAGATAAAGGGAAGGCATACATTTTCTTTTCAAAATCAAGGTATAACTAAAACAAAGGTTTCAGATTGTCTTCACCTTTGTAAAGGTTGTTCCCACAGAGAAGGTATTTAGATAAGATCTCTGCCAACACTTGACTGGTTTTGTACCAACAGCTGTGACTACAGAAGAAAAAATGCCAAGATGAAGACTGTAAGAGGTACACAACATGCTACGGATTTCTTTACCTTTCCCTTTTCAGGACATTGTTCTATTAAAAGATACAGGACACTGTGCATTTAGTTCTCATGACTTACCATTGGGCTACTGAATGCAGTGTGCTTCGAGAGTATGCTTGCTCTTTTTGCTTCAGCTCTGCTACCTGTGCGCCGGTGGGTTTTGGTGCTCTGGCTTCTGTGGACTACTTTGATGCTCTGATGGCTGCAGATACTATCACGCTGGGATAGAGTTCCTCCTTTTGGGGCTGCCTCGTCTTCCTCAGAATCAAGTTCTTGGTACATCGCTAAGCGTTTGGCTGTCAGTAAAAATACAGAGGGAGAAATGCTGCATATGTTAAATGTGGCTGAGAAAGAGGGAGAGGGACACGGTGACTTTGTTCAAGTGATCTGGTTTTAATATTACACCGTGCTTTCACAGTAAGAATGAATGATTCCATTATCAGGGGATAACCAAGTCTAGTCCTAATTGATTGGTGGTATCTAATGGAGGATGCAGATAACGTAATTAGAAATGTACTGCAATACACTGCCTCCCTCATCATCCTCCCTCTCTGAAAGGCAGTTAGACTCTGCAGTAACTCACTGCATTCCCAAAGACTATTCCACAGCTCAGCCTGATGAAATCAACCAAATAATTTGGTCTTTCACTTGCAGTCTGAGAAGGAAAGAAACAATCCAGAAAATTCTCTTGCCCTTTCCAACAGAATACGGAAATTTCACGGAAAGTATTTTCCAGCAAAAATGTTGCATCTACCCAGCACCAGTTAACTGACATCTGAAATGCCCTCAGAACAACACACCTACAGAGCACTACTGCCCTTATTTTATATACAGAGATGAGGTAGACAGCATAAAAGCCTCGCTCAAGGTCAGGGCCATCTGGTGCAGAGTGGAGACATGAACCCAGATTCTTGACTCCTCGCCTGGTGCTAAAACCACCCTGGAGTCCATCCCTTCCTCTCTGAACAGGACGGTAGGAAGGACAATGCACCATGCAGTATCAAAACCGCGGTACCCTCACCTGCTGCGACACTTGTTTCTGTCACAATTTGCTGCAGTGAGCAATACCTAGTGTACACAGAATGAAAGAGTTTTTCCAAATGATATATTTTAGACCAACACTTCCCCAGTCAAGAATCCGACTACAACAGTTAATGTTAGAAACAGATCCTGGCAGTTTGATATACAGAAGTTAAAAAGGAAACAGAAAGAAGAGGTGAGAAACAGCCGTGGAATCCAGCCCCTCTAATGACAGGCTCCGGTTAGCTCTAACTGATGTATAACATATTTTTCCATTCCTAAAGACGATGGGCATTCAATAACCTGGGTTATTCATTAGGCAGGCACATGCCACTTTAACAGGTATCTATTTATTCCTTCATGAGGTATTCATTGAAAGGCTTTTCATTATACTATCAAAATAATCCACGCTATCCAGATATACAGTACAAGTTACATACTTGTGGCTCGGCTTTGTTTCGGTTCTCTGGTGTAACAAATTAGATTTTCCTATGATGTCAAATGATAAATCACTAGCATGTAAGTTAATTATTCAGGCATTTAAAAAAAAAAAAAAAATTTCTTCCAAAATACTTCCTGAGAAAAATCTTGCATTACCTATAGTGAGTTTGGCATGGGATCACTTTTAACTAGCTAGATTTACGAGCAAAGAAAACCCCATCCTTGCCATCCTCTGCAATTTTCAAACGTTTTAGCTGTCAGAAAACAGTCGGAGGAGTTGAAATCAGACCACACGCAGTACATGGCAATAGCTCTATCAGTACAGTATCGTACATCAGAGGTTTTTTCAACTCCATTTGGAACATGTATAGGCTCTGTCTGAAATGTGGGAGCTGGGAGAGCTTCCCAGTCCTGGCTGTGAACCCCGTCCTTGCTCTAACTGCATGCCCAGGTATTCACATCCTGTGCTGCACTCTCTCTCCTGCTGGAAGAAAATTTAGGCCATGGAGGTAGAAAGGGCCATAGTGCATTTGGAGACATGGAGAAGAGACTGCAGGGCACACTGCAGATCGCTTCTGCCCCATAGCTCGGATACAGCCCTGCAGCCCAGGCCTTGAGGCTGATGTAGACTAACGTGGATGACTGAGGAGTTTCCTTCATTAGCATTATTTGGTGTGATTCATGCTCCTCTGTGTTATGTAGTGGGAAAGAGGTTGAGCAACAGCCCGTTCAGTGCTGTTGAGGGCAGCTGCTCATTGAGCCACACAGCTGTAAATGGAAGAGCACAGCACCCTTGCCTTCTTTCAACGCCTACCTTGTTCTTTGATTCATATGACAGAACCTAGAAGACAGCTCAAAAAATTAGGGAGGTCACTGGTCTCCTTGGCCCTTCTGTTGCATGGTAATGAGTTGCAAGGAAATAAAGTTCACTTCACCTGCACAGGCTGCTTCCTGCAACTTGTTGCACGTGCTTTGGGGTAGCTCAGTCCTAACCTGTCCCATCACTCTTGCCCACTAATTCCCACTTTATTCTGCTCTGTAAGCCTCTATGCATTTTCCCAGTGGAAGTGCAGATCCCTATACTGTGAATTTAATTCAGCTGATCATAGGTTTGTCTATATCAGAAGGAGTCTACACTGAGGGCCCAAAGTGATCTGCAGCATGTCATAAGCACTGATCCAGGCCCTCAATCAAGATGTAAGCCAGGCTGCTAACTGTTCCCCCCCAGCATCCCAGTTTCCTTCCAAAGGAAACCCAGGTATGCGAGGAAGGAAGGAGCCATGTGGAGATTGTAGTGTGTCACTTTAAGAGGATGCCTCAAGTACCAGAATGGAGTGGCACACTGAAGGACTTCTGCCCTTCTCTGCACTGGGGAAGTATGATGCAGTGCACATCTGGGGAGGTATGATGGAGTGCACATCCTGGGATGAGGCCTGCGGAGGGTAGTGCCCAGCCTGACAGCGCAAGCTCTGCCTTAATTGTCCTTTGCAGACTCCTAGCTGCATGCTGCAAATCCCAGGTTGAAAAACCATTGCCCAAGATGACACACGAGTAAGGTTTTCTGCACTTTACCAATGTTTAAGACTTAAATCAATCATAAGAAGCATGTTTTTGTGCCTTATCTTCACTAAGGCTCTTAGCAGCAAAACCAGTGTTAAGGAGAGTTGGTGCGACACGTCGACACTCAGCCTCTCTCAGGAAAAGCATAAGAAAAGCTTGGATTTGCCATAGGGATAATCTTCCTCACTGTGGATGCTGGGCATTTGAGTGGTAGACTGACAGAATGCTGCACTTCCCGTAACAAGTAATATACCTTGACAGGGAAAGGACTGGCTACAATGACTCTTTACAGCTTTGCAAAATGTGCTACCCAGTTGGTCCAACTCCCTTCCGAGCAGAGTTTTTTAAAAAAGGACATACATTTTCTTTAATAATCATACCTAATTTAAGCTTCTGCTCTGAAAATACATCTTGAAATACATGACTCCAAAGACCCAGAATTGATTATCATTTTATTCCACGTATAAAAACTCTATGGTTAAGCAGAGAATGCATTTCATGCAAGTTATGCTTGCATACCATATCTCTGTATTCTTCGTTGTTCTTTCTTCTTTCTCACATTACATCTAAAAATATTTTGTTTATTCAACATAGCAAAAGCTGTTTCCTAATGCAGCACTCAGCTTATTCACTGGTATTATACCAATAGCGCGGTCCTTTCTAGTCTATGTAATACTAGCCATCTCTTGGTCTCTACACAGGTTTTCATCATAGCACATTCATTTAATTGTTCCTGCCACTGAGAAAAAGGGAAAGTAGATACAAGACTAGAATCTCATTTAACCAAGTTAAATGTAATTCTTTTGATACAAATGGTGTTATTTCAGTTTTATACCAAGGTAAGCTTGATAACAAAAAAACAGGCCTTAGCACCTTTCAACATTTTCTCAAGTAGAGTCTTACATATTATGCAGCAAGAATTAAGAAGCTTGAAGAAATAATGAAACCCAGTTCAATTGTTATGTTATGGCTAAGGTTCACAATGCTTCAGCTGTGCAAAGCGTGCTTATTTGGGAACACACTGTTCTCATCACCCACTCAGCCCTCCCCGATTCAGAACCTTTTCCTGTGAACATTATAACCTGAAAGACATTGTTGTGGGATGCTTTTCAGTTTCAGCACGGAAAACTGATGGCCTTGATCTTTTGTCTAATGGAGAGTTTTTTATTAAGGGCAAAGGCACAGACAACTTTGAGAAACACAGCAATGCAATTCATAAAAGTCAAATTTCACTATCCTCTAGTTCATTTTATATTTACGGCACAAAGAAGAAACAATAATTAATACTTATTCCATGAACTTTCTCCCATCTTTCAGAAGACAACAGTAAGCTATAAATAAAACTCCTGTAGTAGCTGCTAAGTACTTGAAGAGACATTCTTTTTTTAAAAAAAACCCTTTTATTTAATTATTTTTTGGTTTTGCTTCTTTTTGTTTTACCTTCCATGCTATCTGTGTTCTACGATGAGGCATCCATTTTGCAGGCTGACGGAGACACCGTTGCCACACAGCCAGATGTTCCATTAACTAGAAAAGTGCGATCAGGAAACTCTAAAGGACTTCCCTTCAAGCAGAATAAAACTGCAGACCCCCTAATCCAGAATAATTCAGCTGTCAGTGTGTGGGCCCTAATTTTGTCATGGGATTATTCCGTTTCATCCCAAACCATTTGAATGAGGCCGTTACTGAACTATCTTGAAGTAAATATAGATGTGCAGTACTTACACCACCACACCACCTTATTTCCTTATTATGTTATGAGTGCAAGCTTATGTCACTCTGAAGTGCGCTCTAGTGTCTACATAAAGAGTCAGTCGAGCAGCTAGCATGGTATAAATTTTGTATTGTACAAATGTGCTAACATAATCTAACTTAATTTACTTTGCAAGAACTTCCCCATAAGGACAAGTCTTGAGATTAGAAAACACCAAGATTTTCCTTCCTCTTCCCTCTTGGCATCCCCAGGGGCTTAAAATGAATAACTTTAAGTCCTTCATTAAGAACTCTTTACTCTACGTAGAAATGGAGATCATTCCTACTTTTCTGGAGATTTTCCAGAGCAACTGTGAGTGTAGGTATATGCTTAGAAAAAAGTATTACCTGTCTCTAAATATGAGTTATTCTGTCTTCTATAGGATTTAAAATGGGGCACTCCCAACGTACTGAGTTCTACATCTGCTGGCACCAGTTGTCTCCTCAGTTACCAATTACAATTTTTCAAACAGCAGTAACAAATGTAAAGAGAAGCTACAAACAAGCTATACAGAGTGCCTGA